CTATTGTTTCAAATGTTGTATGAAAAACACGATTCCAATATAATCCAATATTGGATAAATGAATGGTTACGTTCTGCAGCAATGGTGCCATGCGAGGTAATAACCGATTTTTCATTTGCGCTATTAAATGATATCGCATGTGCGTTTAACAATTACACTTTAGCGCATTATATAAAATTATGTTTAAGGTGCCTAAATTCCGAGAAAGATTTAAAAACTATTATACCAATATGGTTCATGCGTTTGGATATTGTGCATATAATAAAAATGATAGCTAAATGGGAGTGTTTTCGTAAGAAGGCCCCACGAATAAAAGAATTTTATTTACGATGCGTGGGGTTTCTAAATACTATTGAAACGAAAACTCAATTCGAAAATATCTTGCACTCGCTATTAATTGTAGCTCTTAGTGAGTGCGATGATAAAATTACAGAATGTGCAAATAAACAAGAATATCTCCTAGAAATTATATGTAATTTTGCAATTGATAATGAGGAGAATTACGATGAAAAAGATAATAATTATGATAATGACTACCATTTATTGAATGAAATGGACGTTGCATTGGAAGATAACAGTTTACCTTATTTTGACGAGTTACGTGCTAGCACGGAAATTTTGTCTCAAAAAACACGATCGGGTCAGTATCTTAATGCATATTATTGCCCAGAATTCGTTGCACCATTTTTGCGATTTGCAATAAATTATGTTTTATGGACTAATGTTATGCTACGCATTAATAAATCAAAACATTCTGTAGCTTCATCAGCTGGATCAGAAGCGTATTTTAATGATACAAAGAATATTACCCTTAACGATGAAGGCAAGCCCACTCGAGCAAATAAATTTATCATGAAACACATACGCTCGATTGAAAGTATCTGCCAAATTGAACGGGCAGCTCTTGATAATCGTGCTGCTAAAAAAAGTAATTTTATAAAGACAAGCATATCAAAACAAGAAATTTCTGCTCTCGACATTGACAAAGTATCTACTGAGCAATCACTTAAGTCGACTCAGTCAGATTTGGATGCCGAAGAAAATTGGCATGGTTTGAATCTTCCGAAAGAAACACAAGAAGATATTGTAATAAAATCTGTTAATAAAAAGTATAGAGGAAAGTACTTAACAGCCTGTCCTGATAACTTTCATTCACAATCGTCCTCTACGTAAAAAAGAAAGAATTTGTCTTCAAAATGGTTCGACCGATTGCTTCGACCGATGAAGATCGGCACAAGAAAAATTCAAATGACTTCAGCCTGTGCTTTTTGACGCAATAACAGAATTATTAATGACAGCATACGTGGATTCTGTTAACTATAAGCAGATAGTGGATGAAGAATATAAAAAATTAATATTCTTTCAAATTGTGGTAAATTATGCTATCAATGGTATTAACAACGCAATTTACTTTGACAGAATTTTTTATTTATTAACGCTGTTCAATAGCGAAGACAATGTTATTAATTGCACTTGCAATATCTCCACATTAATTGCGAAGTTATTAATTAAAGCACTGAGTGCTAAACAGAAAAGCACATGTCTCGAATGTAACCACGAGGAAACTAATAACATTCCGATAGTAGAAATCAACTCAAAGCCAATACTTCAATATGGTTTGCAAAGTGGATTACAAAGATCTATAGATACTTTCTTCTCAAATAAAGAAATCCCGTGCAAACGTTGCGGAACTAAAGTATCCCGTGAAATCATTCCCAATACACATTTATTAATTGACGTCGAACATGCATATCACAGCACACTATTGTCAGTGATTTTCAGACGAACCGAGAAACATTCAGCTATGTAAAATACCAAAAAATGTACAAATAAAACATGACAGATACAAATTATTAGGAGTAGTTTCTTATAATGGTGACGATGAACAGAAAACAAGTTATTATATTGCTTATTGCTACAGAGTAACAGAGGCCTGGGAAGAATATGACGATCTTAAATGTAAATATATACCATTGCAAGCAATAGCATCACACATATTATTTAAACCAAGCGTCATAGCTTACATAAAATTAACAGAGCGTCCATAAAAACATTTTTTATAAAATTGATATATACGTTTATAATATATACGTTTCATACATATATACGTTTCATATATTTTATATATTATTAAAGGAAAATGTGCTTTTATTTTTCATTAAATATGGTTTTATTTTGCAATGTTAAGCAATGTTCTTTTTTCTTATGATTAAGCAATATCATTTAATTTTAATGTTCGCACGACGTTGTATATTTTATTATTTTATTAAAGTTTCTTATATACATACTCACAAGTGAGAGGCAAGGGGACTCATTATAATTAAGCACCCCGATGGAATCAAACACCAGCCACGTCCTCGTCGTTGATTCCGGTTAATATTAAGAGCTGGTAATGTGCAAATGAAGATCTATCGATTAGATTTCTTATTACAATTCAGTTTCCAATGGTGGCCACCATATAGGAAATATCTCAAAAATTAATATTAAATAACTTTTGAACTAGAGGTGTGCAAACGAAAAGTCGACTTGTTTCGTAATGTGCAAACGAAGATCTTCTGATTGCCATCATCACATGTCAGAATTTTGCAAAAATGTGTAATTTGCCATGTGTGAAGTTAGCCCCCCATGACTAAATTAAAAAAATATTTGACCTACAGATGTGCAAACGAAAAATCGACCTGTTTCGTAATGTGCAAACGAAAATCTACCGACTAGGCTTATTATAATCCATTTTTGCACATTTTCAGTAGTGGCTATCATATAGCGGATATGCCAAAAGTAAACGTTAAATAACTTTTGAACTAGAGGTGTGCAAACAAAAGGTCAATTTGATTCGTAATGTACAAACGAAGATCTATCGATTTCGTCGGTTTAAGATTAATTTGCTGGAAGTTGGGGGGCCAATGTGAAGTTGGCCCTCCCAAAATTATTTCTTGAATAACTTTTAAGCGAAAGGTGTGCAAACGAAAATACGAGATGTGCATACATGTGCAAACAATGTGCAAACGAATGACGTATAGAAAGTTGTTTTTTTCAAAAGTTGGAGGGCTAATTTCACAAGGATTTCACAGAGTGCTTTTTGAACACTCAAGTGAGGAACGACCTGTACTTGACACATTAGTTTAGTCACACTACGTACAGGATGAGTTTTAGTACTTTATTTGTGGAGTAAAGCCTTTAATAATTACACACCATTACGCGATTATTGACCACTTGCATTTGTGAGTTCTCTTTGTGCGTTTCCATTTATCTGTTTACAAATAGCGTGCTCCGTTTATATATAAAGGAAGACCGAAACCGATTTGTACAAGAGATAGATTGTCCGCAGCATGTTTGTATCACGATTATTATAGAAAAAAGTATACAGTTTACAGAATCATTTTCGGCATAAAAATATAAGAAAAAGATTATTACTACTATTTTTATACAATAAAAAATCGAAATCAATCATCTAGAAAGTTCTCTACATTAAAACTTTGGAAAGTGTGCCAACATATTCCGGTTTCTTCTCTGTACAAAGCACGATGAATATCTTTTTGCGATAAAATTTTGAGTAATAATCAGTCATTTTATACCGTTGCTCATTTTCAATGTAAAATCATAATTTTCTAATGACGATTTACGAGTTTTACAAATTTCTCTATATTGAATATATGAAATCCATAAAAAGAAATTCCTTTGAGGGGCAAATGTAATTATAGTTAAACATGATAACTATGTATAATCGATCGAGGATTTTTTCTGTTTTCTTTACGATCAAGAACACAAATATTTCTCAAGTGGCCGATAACCGTGTCGTTCACTTAAAATTTGTGAACGTTCAACAAATCGCTGCACCTTAAAATAGCACTAGATCAATCAATCCTTCTACAGCCGATCGTATCTTGCTTATTCTGAAGCGAATGATGCAATGGGACAGCAATTTGGCCGACTACTATTTGACTGTCGGTCTTGTGAAACTTACTCATTAACTCCTTATCCATCGACAAAAAGAATAGATGAACTCAAACGAGAGAGAGGTGGTCGACTTTTTGGCAAGCTAATACATTGCATCTCATAACATCGCTTATTAGCTGTACTACGAACTAAAACTATTACTCAGTTTTTTCAGTCTAAACACGCATCGATAATAAGACGAATATTAGCGCAGTGCTCCTCTTCACTTTCTACTTTTGTGCATTAGTGCTTTTCGTGTGAGCACTAATTCTTGATTTAGGATTTCCATGCATTAACCAAAACGGTAACCAATTTTAGCAAGACAAAAGCGTCTTGCGCAATCTGCGAGATATATGTCATCATGAAAGTCGCGGCACTTTGAAATCATTAAATTCTTATCGAAAATGTACAATCAGGGACAACAATGAGTGGGTGTTTAAGCCAGTTATGATTTCCTCATTGTTTCATTTGTTTATTGAACATGGAAAAGCAATAAATATCAATGACCGTGCTCGTTCATCGGTTTATCAAGTATAGAATATTTCGATAATTTTCAGCTGTTTGCTAAGTTTTCGTATTTTCCATCTAAATCTGAAGTGGTGGCACAATTTTTACCTTATAATATCTTCATCATGATTGAATAAAAACAAACAAAACCGTAAACCTTTGATATACAATTAAAGAAAATTTTTTGTTTCTATATAATTAGAAAAAGAAAAACATCCCTCATAATATCCAAAACACAATGATCACAATAAAATCATAACGAAATCATAGTGATGTATGATTGTCCGCTTTACCATAGATGTAATGTCTCTATGACATTATACTTGTGCCAAGGCAGACTATGAATTTGTTGTAATCTTATTATGACTTTAATGCTATGAAGGATTGTAACCTCTAGTTCCACTTCTTCACTTTTTGTAAATTACTATTATTTCAAAATATTAACAAATATATTTAATCATAAAATATTATTATAATGTCTGCCATTTCTACGAAGAAAAACACGAATGTAAAAGAAAAAAATGTAAAAGAAAATGTAAAAGAATGTAAAAGAAAAAAATGATTACGATTTTTATTCGTATGAATCTTCATACAATCTTGTCTCTGAGTGTACACAGCTTTAAGAATTAACACGCGTAGAAAATATAAAAATTCCCCCCAAAATGTGCAATCTTTTCGCGTTGGAGATAAAAGTATGAATTGTCACGAGATTCGCAAGTGCATGTAGAAAAATCCACCCCGACCACTCACAAGGATTTGAATCGTCGTCATCATCGATACATTGTCGCGTTTTTAAAACTGTACAGCACACGTGAAAAATGATTTCGTTAAAAAAATTAATCGCGCGTATAAGACAAGTATTCGAAGGGACCTCGACAGGCTAAAATCGAAATATATCCCTGGTTAGCCTTGAATCAGTTTTCGTAGCATAATGATCATATTAACATCACGTATATCTCGCGCGCGTGCGCGCGTGTGTGTGTGTGTTATGTATTTTGTATTTTTGTTCACGTGTACTTACGTATGTCAGATACATACGCATATATAGTTCCGTCGGGATGTCTTTGCGGTCGTTTAAGTATAAATCTGTAACAGTATCAAAATGGTAAAAATAGTGCATATGAAGACCATGAGCACAGGTAGGATCAGGATGAATCTGACAGAGCGGCTGAGGCCGCTTGGTTCCTGTCATACAGCCTGCTCGCCAGATTCGATAGAGGCGTCGAAAAGTGGCCGATCTGCAGGCGTTTCGTTGGACGTCTTCGATGTCACCCCGCCACCATTTCCACTGCTATTGCCTTCTCGTCTAGTCTTACTCGAACCTGAAAAGCACAGGCAACCAGACTGATTGCGGTTCCGTTTCAACGTCGGCTTGTTCTCACGGTCTTGTTCCGCTAGACACTTCTGATAGTAGTCGTAATCCTTCAAATACCTGTTAAACAAATCACACCGATATTCAGAGTTGAACGGCAAATAGCAATGATGGCTAAAAGTATGATTACAAACTCAATCTTATCAATTTAATTAAAAAAAAAAAGATGATATGGGTTGTAGTAACGAGAGTTATATATTAGGTCGTTAAATATGAAATGTCCGATTTCCTTAAGTACTAAGTTCGACAGTCGATATTTCTGACATTTCACCTTTACAGTTCTTGATTTTTTTTTTCTTGTAAAGGTACATCATCACTCTTTCAAACGCATATTTGGTTTGTGATTATCTTTCGAAATGTCTTTGTTACAGCAATCTTTGTGTAACCATGGATAAGTTAAAAATTCGTGTTATTTTCGAAAACTGGTCAATCGATTACAGCGGATGTAATTAACTGAACGAAATGATGAGGATGCTTGCGATTAAGCAGCCGAGACTGGTCAATAGAGACAGGCCAATCTTTTTGCAAGATAACACTCGACCACATATCGCACAAACAACGTTGTTCAAACTACAGTACTTGGAAACTCTCTATCATCCACCATATTTACCAGATCTTGCACCAACTGACTACCACTTCTTCCAGGCAGTGGACTACTTCTTGCAAGGAAAAATATTCAATTCTCAACAAGCTGGAAAACGCCTTCCGCGATTTCACTTGCTCTTCAGGCTTTTTCGCTGCTGGCATGAATAAGCTACCGTTAAGATGGCAGAATTGTGTCGATACTTTAGGCGCATACTTTGATTAATTTTACTATTTCTGGTTTGAGATATAATAAACCAAACTTTTGATTCGAAATCGGACATTTCATATTTAATGACCTAATACAAAGGTTGTTCAAACTGGCTTAATATAGAAATATTGCGAATTCCATCAAATCTTCATTATTATATTTGTGTTTAAATATAATATTGGGTGTGTGAATATGACTCCGCCCTTTTTTGTTAAAATAAAACACATTTGCTTGTTTAGAAAATTAAAGAAAAGTTTATTGAAAGTATGCTCCATCTGCAGCTACAACCTTCGCCCATCTTTCAGGTAATTTATGTATTCCTTGCCTGAAGAAGTCCTGGTCTTTTGAGCTGATCCAATTATCAAGCCAAATTTCGATACTTTCGTATGAAGTGAACCGTTCTCCCGTAAGATCTGACTGCATCGTCCGGAATAAGTAATAATCTGAAGGAGCTATGTCTGGCGAATATGGCGGGTGGAGTAGCACTTCCCAGTCCTGTCCATCTAAATATCTTTTCACGACTTCTGCGGTATGCGGTTTGGCATTATTATGCTGAAGAATTAATTTGCTGTGTCTATTCACCCATTCTGGCCGTTTTTCTTCTATGGCTCGCTTCAAACGCATTAGTTGTCGTCGGTAAACTTCTCCTTTAATAGTTTGGCAACGATCCTCTGTCAATAATGCTTCCAATTCAGCATCTTCAAATTTTTTTGTTGGTTTCCCATGTTCTCTGTCCTCAGTTTCAAAATCATTATTTTGAAATCGTCGAAACCATTCCGTACAAGTTGTATTAGATGGAGCATGATCACCATAAATCTCCACAAGCAAACAATAAGTTTTCGCTGCACTTTTCTTTGCAATAAAATAGTGTAATAATACTTCCCGCAAATGATGTTTGTTTAGAACGAAAACCGACATTTTCAAGTAGGGTAAAACACTTGTTGCTTACACTTAAACCAAATTTCACGTAGTGCGTTTGAAAGTTGACATGAAGTACTATCGAATACAAGTATTGCCAGTTATTAGTACACGTTAACAATACTAAAAGCAACATCTGTTGGAAAAGGGCGGAGTCATATTCACACATCCAATACTATAGTACAATTTATCAATTAACCTTTGTTTCACAGTATACCAAAATAAACACCACGAATGGTTATATAAAAAACGGAGAAAACTGAGTTGCATATAATGTTAAAGTATTTTCATCTAAAATGTTTAATATCAATTGAAATTGAAGCAGAGTTGGATTCGACACTTTCAGAGTTCGTTCTTTTGTTTTCAACGATTAAGAACTGGACTTCTGAAGTTAAACGTAATCATATAAACAAATGACGAATTGTGCAACGGATGTCTAAAACTGGTTATTACTCGATAAATAATAGGAAATATCAATAATGTATCGTATTAGATGATCAGCGTGTAAAAGTCACATAATAGACGTAATGGGCATTTTCAATGGCAATATACAGAATATTTTAACCCTTTGAAGCACAGCGACACTCTGGAGTGTCACCTTTTAGTTTCATTTTATTACGTTTTCCAGATATAAAACACTCGATTTTCTTGCTGTTTTTTGGGTTTTCATTCGAGTATTATGTTATTAAGTATGTTGTAATGCGTAATTCTCATAAATTGTTTATGAAATTGTTTATATAAATAGTTAAATGCAAAAAAAAGTATTTTTTGTACAAAAAATTCGTGTCACAAAGAACAATTATAGCTATATGGATGACAATTGATACCCTGGGGTTTTCAAGATCGCCGATTACAAATCCGGGGTTAGAATTTCGAAATTCAAAATGGCGGATCCAATATAGTGGGCAAAAATGTTCAAAATCCTTCGATTTCGACAGAAATAAGTACATTTGGGGTACAAATAGGTATAGGAGGTTCTTCGGGTCGTCGATTACGAATTTGTTATCAGATTTCCGAAATTCAAAATGATGGATCCAATATGGTGGACAAAAATGTTCAAAATCCTTCGATTTCGATAGAAATAGATACATGGAGGTTTTTTGGGCCGTTGTTCACAAATTTGTTATCAGATTTCTGAAATTAAAATCCATAATATCATATCAAAATTGACCACTTGAAGTCGCCATATTGGATCCGCCATTTAAAATTTTTTAATTTCGACTCTGTATTTGTCATCTATGATCAAAAAAACATATATATGTACCGAGTTTGATACATATCCATAATATCATATCAAAGTTAGCCATTTAAAGTCGCCATATTGAATCTGCCATTTTGAATTTTAAAATTTTGATTCCGGATTCGTAATCAGCGACCCAGAAAACCCCTATATACATAATCGGTTTCTTTTATTATTGCATAGAAAAATTCGGGCTTCAAAGGGTTAATTAAAGAATTGGGTATAAAAAACTCTTTGTGCATTAAATGCTGCGTTTACTTAAACTGTAACACAAATTTAACCGTTTCATTATTTCTCGCGAATTTTTGGCACATATTTTTAATATTCCAAAGAATTTTTTGCGCCGATTCATAAATTTGAGTTCACCACTATACTCCAGCATGCACATGCATCTAACGAAGGAATAATCAAACCAGTGCACGCACAAAAATTCTTCATTACCGAAAAAGGCGAAAATGATTTTGTCTCCATGGTGACTGCTTTTGGGATTCACATAAAATTATTTTCATTGACTATTTGGTAAAGAGAAAAATAAATAGCAGATATCGTATTAATTTATTACAATAATTGAACAACAAAAATAAAGAGAAATAACCACATTTAACCGAAAATAAAATGTTTTTTTACTATGATGACGCACCGACATACATGTTTGCAATCGCTATGGCTAAAATATATGATTTGGAATTGGAATTAGTGCCCCATCCATACTATTCGAATTTGATTTCCTATGTTTTGCGTCTATTTTCAAAACCAAAGAAATAGATTAACACTAAGAGATTTTCGTTCAATTCCTAAATATCGCTATTACTCGTATAAATAGTTACTTTGAAATCTTGTATTCATCAAATTGCGAAGAAGGCTTTGGAGTACCGTTGGAATAAGTATGTCGAGATAGTAAGATACTTTGGATGAGTGCAAAAGTTTTGATATATGTACATGTAGAGTTTCAGAAATATAGTGACCTAACTTTAAAAGCATATTCTACTCATTGTAAAGATGAGAAAAGGTCATATAAATACGAGTCGAGAAACGCATCTTTTCCATATTATAAACATTTTTTCTATTTGTAACAGACTTTGGTAAGAATATTTCATTAAAGAAATTGTTGGAAATAATTTCTTTCTGCATCAATACATATAGTACTGGACAAAATAAAATACGCACCTTGGACATTTTCACGTTTATAACTCGGCGTAAATAACTCGGCAGTCTTGAGAGATAGAATAATGATATATTCGAACGAAAAGAAAGTCTCTTCTATTTTTAAGTTTTAAGTGAAAAAATTCCAAAAAACATTATTATTATTATTATCATTATTATTATTATTATATCATTATTATTATACATTATTATTATTATATGTACAGAGTGTCCGGTAATTAGCTGCCAACCTGAAGTGTGAAGGTAGATTGGGTTAAGACAAACATAAAAGTCCCATACCGTTTTGTGAAATTCGCAATAATTATCAAGTTATTAATGACAGAAATCTGAGGAGTGGGAGCATGCCGATATAGATGATTGGAGAAGCGTTGCAGCTGCTCAGGCCACAGTGTGGCCCAGTTGAACCAGAAACTTTTGCTGGTGCGCGGCGAGGGGAAGAACAACGCGCCGCTATTCGTTATTTTATCTCGCCGCACCTATGTCTGTACGCTGCGCCGCACGCTGCCAACAGTTGCTGGGTCGACTGGGCCGCGCTGTAACCCGAGAGGCTGCGACGCTTCTCCAATCATCCATCTTGGCGCGTGCTCATTCGTCAGATTTCTATAATTAATAATTCGATAATTATTGCGAATCTTGCAAAATAATATGGGACTTTTATGTTTGTCTTAACCCAATTTACCTTCACACTTCAGATTGGCAGATAATTACTGGACATCCTGTATATATATAAAAATCCTTCAATAGTAAATCTGTTATATTTATTGTCATGTTTACCTTGGCCAAAATAAAATACGCACTGGAATGTTTACTTATTTACTTTTATTAATAAGGATTTGTAGGCTACTTCTTGGTACTGCTGGAAATAAGAGACTGTGTAAATAAATGTGTTACTAATTATTTTGATAATTATTGGTGCTGTTGGGAAGAATAATGTATCGATTATTCACCAATACCTAACTGAAAACTAAACAAATTTCTGTACAAATTCGAAACTTAATAGTTAAGGACCGGCAGAAGGGACTCTCCAATAGGGAAATCGGTCGAAAGTATAACATAAGTGAAACTGCGAATAGGAAAATCTGGAAAAATTTTTGGAATTTGACACAGTAGCGAATAAGACCGGTCCGGACCTTCTTCCGGCGGAAGAAGAAGACAAATCCAACCGAGGATCGACTGATCATACGGGACGCAAAAAAATTCGACTGTTTATAAAATTAAAATTAAAAAATCCGATATGTTTCCTATTACATTAGTTGTGTAAAACGTTTAATTAAAGATTTCTAAGTAAACCATATGCAGGAAACTCCGGAAAGCTGGCGTGAGAAATAGTTTTGTACTGTCGCCTTTTGATCCGAAAGACTAATAAGATCAAACATTTGAAATTTACCAAGAAATATGTCCATAAGCCAAGAAATATGTCGTTCAGTGGAGTTCTGGCGAATGATTTGGAGTGATAAAATGATCTTTTACGCTTAGGATTCTCAAAATATATCCATTTCTCTTCGCCAGTCACAATTCGATGGAGAAATGACTTTCTTTTGTACCTGGCGAGCAGCATTTCGCAAGTGGTTTTTCAGTTTTCCTGCTGTCTTTCATTCAGTTCATGTGGAACCCATTTTCCCATCTTCTGGATCTTTCTCATGGCTTTCAAACGTATGGAGACGGCTTCTCGTGTCACATTTAATTGATCCGCGAGTTGTTGTTGCGTTTGAGCGTCATCCTCATCCAACAATGCTTGCAATTCGCTGTCTTCAAACTTTTTCGGTCGTCTTCCACGTTCTTCGTTTCTCACGTCAAAATCGCCAAGGTTGAATTTTTTAAACCACTCAAAGCACTGTGAGTATGTATCTCGTGAAGAAAGTATGTGCTTACTCTTGACGTCGAGTGGTGGAAAATCAGTTTTTTTCGAATTTTGGGAGAATGGATGGTAGTACGAGATTCATACTTTAAAATTATAATTTTTAAGTTTAAAACAATTCAGAACAAAAAGGGCTCGGTTGGAACAAGAAAGAAAACATGTGTTTACTCTTGACGTCGGGTGCTGGAAAATCGATTTTTTTCGAATTTTGCGAGAACGGATGATGGTACGAGATTCATACTCTAAAACTATAATTCTTCAGCCTAGAACAACTCAGAACAAAAAGCGCTTGGTTGGAACAAGAAAGAAAACATGTGTTTACTCTTGACGTCGGGTGCTGGAAGATCAATTTTTTTCGAATTTTGGGAGAACGGATGGTAGGACGAGATTCATACTCTAAAACTATAATTTTTAAGCCTAGAACAACTCAGAATAAAAAGCGCTTGGTTGGAATAAGAAAGAAACCATGTGTTTACTCTTGACGTCGGGTGCTGGAAAATCAATTTTTTTCGAATTTTAGGAGAACGGATAGTAGGACGAGATTCATACTTTAGAACTATAATTTTTAAGTCTAGAACAATTCAGAACGAAAAGGGCTCGGTTGGAACAAGAAAGATAAGTTTATTCTTGGTCCGGTAGACTGTTTGTCAAAAAACTTTTTTTCATTTTTCGAATTTATAATTCAACTTATGGATTTGTCCTTTTGGAACAATGTTTGGAACAACTAGAACAATCTATAGCGGTATCGAAATGTTCAATTTTCGAAAAAAGGGGTGCCAGCTAAAAAAATCATTTTTTTGTTTTATTCGAAAACCGTTTGGAATGAAGCAATAACATTTTGGGAGAATGTAGTACAAAGTCAGAACAATTTGGAACAACTTTTAAAATTATAAATTTCGAAAAACGGGGTGCCAATTTCATACATCCCGCCGTGGGCCCTCACTATCGCAAAATTCAATAGAAATGTTCAAATGATCATAATTCTGCGAAAAATATTCGTAGAAACCACGGCGACCTCGTGTTGTTTTCGTCTCGGAAAGCTCTTTCGAACGAGCTCTCACTCAACCCCACATGCCATTTAAGTGGTGTGGAGGTGGGTGTTTTTGTGGTTAAATAATAGACTTTGTGATCCCATTGTACCTCTATAAATTTCAATCCTACATTTCAAACCATTCAAAAATTATTTAGGTAGCCCGGAACATTTGGGAAGCACTGTATAGCAATATCAGTATAACCTTGAATAGACTTTGAATTGTCAAGTTCACGTGAAGGTCATCTTAAATTTCTTAAATGAGACCCCCTATTTTTCATTACATATTCTTGTAGCTTATCTCGTGGTCTTTTCAAAATATTGAATGTTTTTTCGTTAAGTATTTTACGATTTACAAGAATTAAAAGTTACAGTACTGCCGGCATTAGCATTACCCAAGGTGTACCGCGTGGAGATTGCACGCCTGCGCGATTTCGACTTTCTCTTAAAATATAAAGTGAAAGGAATATTAAATATCATATTTCGATTTTCAAATTCGAGCAACAATTAAGAAACAGCATTAGCTGTCGTCATTTGCATTTCATTCAGTCATTACCATTATTCTTTATCATTGCCTTTAGGAAAACTGAATTGTTCCAAGTATTAATTTACTCAGTTTAACTAATTCTTCCGCTTGTCAATATGCTACGTCTTTCAGAGCGTGAGCACATATCTCGTCTGATGATGAGAGGATAGGGTGATCGATTATGGTCGTATAATGATGTAAAGCAGCTTTTTAATCAAACATTTCGTGATCAAGATACTCCCATTTCAAAATCTAATGTTGAGAGAACAATAAAGCGTTTTGAGGAAACTAGTAGTGTGAAAAATCGTGCAATATCAGGTAGACTTGCATCAGCAACAAATTCAGAAAAATCATTAGATGTTTTACAATCCTCGAAAATCCGCATGACTACATTCTATCCGCAAAGTAAGACAGCAAAATGATCTAGATAAAAAGTCTGTGCTTTTTAATTTCGACTCTGTATTTGTTATCTGTGTTCGATAAAACATACATATACCGAGTTTGATACATATCCATAATATTATATCAAAGTTAGCCATTTGAAGTTGCCGTATTGGATCTGCCATTTTGAATTTCTTAAATTTGACTCCAGATTCTTTGTTAGCGACTCAAAAACCTTGGGAGTACCGAGTTATGAGCAAATCCGTTGAAAATTGACAGAATTATTCAAAATGGACATATATGGGCCATTACCAGTGAAATGGTTAATCTGCTGCTACAATAGCCATCATATAATTATAACTTAAATCATTCTGAACAAAAGAATGAAGAAGAGATCCTTTACCATTTTGCAAATAAGTATTCAAATTTTCAAGTTATCAATTAAAAGAGCATCTAGATATGATCATTTTCAATTATTAATAGCTTAATAACTATTGCAATTTTTGCAAAATAGTACTTAACTTCTCAGGTTGATCTGAATAATCTTCACAACTTTTCGTTTCCAAAAGCACCCCAAACATCTATATACGTATTATACGTATATGTATATACGTATTATATATTAAATATAAATTAGATAAGTCGAATATCGAGATATGCTATCAGATGAGAAAATTTGAAGAGCTTTACCTATTATTTCATAGATTAACGATATTTCATAGATAGACAAATTCTTTGTGTTCAAGTATGTAATAGTTTCTGCTCTCCTAATCTCTTTACGTACTTTGTTACCATAATCTCTAAATTTGAAGAATATTTCCATAATCGCGATAATAATCAAATTGAATAAAAATCATGCTACGTATGTGTGCGTGCATGCGTGCGTGCGTGTGTATGTGTGTATACAACGCACAAAATTATTCAAACGAGGAGATAAACAAATGCTTCAATATTTTTACATACCAGACCGGCGGCCATCGATGTTCGTTCAAATACTCCTGATTCTCCGGATGAAGTAGCCGTACGCTGCGAGGCGACATTTTGCACAACTTATTATAATTAACGCAGAGATGATTCATGCACCAGTCGGCCAACTGATCGGCATTATGCAGCTGTAAGTCACAACTAAACGTTAAATGAACAGTACCATCGCCTATGTTTTTTCGCGTCTTTAATTCATTTGAAAAGATACGAATGGATCGATCAAGGGATCGATCATTGTTTTTTTTATTCATTTGTTCACTCGACAATACGGAAGAGAAATACCAACCTTGCACGGCTCCAACAGTCTTAGGCAGTTTTCAACGGCTTCGTTCCCCTCATTTTGTGATAGGCGATCGAGATCCTCGATCACTCTGCTTTCAACTAAATTCACCAATCGTGGAAGGCAGAGTCTGTTGGCTAGCTCCAGTAGATTCAAGCATCTGGCCGAGGAGATCGCCGGCACCTCGTCCGTGTAAAGATAGCAGAGCAACTTATGGAATGTGTACTCCCGCACTCCAGGAAAGACTATCTGTGGTCGGGATAATTATGAAACATATCCTCTTTAATTTTTCGTAATATAATTGATGCGGTATTGATATATTAAAAGTGTAAAAAAGTTTTTTAAAATTTTCTTTGTAAAAACTTTACAATAATTTAAATTCAAGATATTGAATTGTTCATTAAGCTGCAATTTTACTGCTTCATGACAACGCGAGACTATACGTGTCAAGTTAAAAAATTATACAGCATGCACTACGAGACTCTGCTTCACCCACTATACTTTCCAGACCTCTCGCCAACCGACTACCACTCTTTTTAAGCATTTGAACTATTTTTGGCAGGAAAAAAGTTCAACAATGAAGCAATCGTCAAAAACACCTTTGAAGAGTTTCTTCAGTCCAGACTTCTATTTTTGGGTTCCGGACTTTGGTCGGATTTTGATCGCTGGACTTGTATAAAACTGGCATAAATGTATTGATATCTCGCTGGGAGAAAATTTATTACATCTAATGGTGCCTATTTTGATTAATAAAAGTCAGTTTTTACAGAGCTACTGTTGTTTGAAGTTTTCAAATCCGACATTTTATGTGCAACTTAAGGGGGCATATACACTTAGCAGAGTTCAAAAAATCGATTTTTCGTTTTTTACATTTTCTTAAAGCTTCATATGTAGAGAATATTTTCTCTAAGTTTTAAGTCAATATTGTAACAAATGACAAAGTTATAGGCCTAAGAATACGTTGGAAACTTGCACAGGCTGGCGTCATTCAAATAGCCTAACTGCTCGTCCTGTGTATTATTTCTCCCGAATTTATTGTGTTTCTTGTAGTGTATGCGTTATGTATTTTTATCGACGGAGTAATTATGATTCTGAACCCGATGACAACCCACATTGTGATATCGTGAAGTTAATCATCAACATCGTTGGAGTCTCATTGTATGGTATATTAAACGGAAATCTTATCGGCTCTTATTTCTTTGACGAAAATGTTAATGGTAATAATTATTTACATTTTCTGCAACAAAGATTGCCGGCATTGCTTGAAGATATCAACCTGAATACAAGACAACGTATGTTCTTTCAACAGGACGGTACGCCTGCGCACTGAAGTAGAAGAGTTAGATACCATTTAGATTTCACATTCTCAGGTAGATGGATAGGACGCGGTGGACCAGTGTCATGGTGTCTTAGATTTCTAGACTTGTCAATTCCAGATTTTTTTTTATGGGGATACATGAAGAATGTTGTATACTCAAAAACAACCACAACAAGAGATAATTTGATGGAGCATATAATTCTTGCCTGCCGTAGCATTCCAAGAAATGTACTTTTATCGACAGTCGACGGTTTTGAACGTCGAATTCAATTATGTGTGGATAATAATGAACAGATATTTGAACACTTATTAAAATCATAATCCTTTCACACGAAAACTAGATTCTGATATGGATCGGATAGTCTGGATCAGTCTCGCGCGATCTTACCTTAACCGGTTGGATCAGTCCCGATCTTGGTTTATAACTTAACAAGTACTTAACGAAAAGTAACTTAGTTATAGTGTTTTGGAAAGCTCTCGAGATGAGCTATAAGAACATGTAATGAAAAATAAGGGATTCTATTTAAAAAATCGAAGGTGACCTTCACGTGATCTTCAGAGGATTATCCAAGGTCAAATCAATCATACCATCTTATGTCTCCCTCCGAACCAAACAACTTTTGTCTGAAACATTTTTGTCTACTAAGTTTAATTTTCGAGATATTAGATTGGATCATTTAAAATGAGACACCCTGTATAATATATATTATTTGTATCCTCTATAATAAAATAAAATAAAATAAAATTTAATATCTTTTAACGTAACATTACGTTATGCACACGTTAACTTTTAATGTACACATTGCATATTTATAGATTACTGTTTTTACATTCTTTCATATATTTTTCTTATAATTTCACATGTTAAACTACAATTAATACTCACGGATCGTTGGTCATACACTTAATAAACATTATATGTTATAAAATTTTGTATTTATATTAACATTTCTTTTCTTATACTTTCTATTATTTCAACGATATTAACAAAAATATGGGAACTCCGATTTTTTTAAAGGTATTTTCACTTCTAAAACCATTTATTAACTAAAATAAAAAGTAACTAAGTGATCAGATTCATATATATTTTAATTCCACAAAAGTTAAAATTTTTTTCCACAAAAAGAATTTTCGATTTTCCGAACGTTCCTTATAAATCAGATGATAAATATGATCGATAATGTGTTGAGTTGGCTTCATAGTCTTATATTATTGCACCAAATTATGAGTTTGTTTATATAATACAAACAAGAGATTAGAACATGAAAATTTTGTTGAAGAAATTAGGGCATTTAGTTTGACATATATATCACGGAAATTTAATCCGTTCAATTCGAAGTGTTTCAATTAAATTGTTTTTATAGTGTACATAAAATATACTCACAACTTTTGCGCTGCTTTCGCGAAAATCGCCAGAGAACATGGCTTTCATCACGTCGCATCGGGCAGTGAGAATCGCTTTATGGGCTGGTACGCTGCCGTCGTCCAACTCGAACATCACATCGGCGAAGAGACCTAAGCATAATACATTTACGATTAAGAGTTTGCTGTAGTAGTCTCGTTTCATCATTCCTTGTTAATACTTCTGCTTCCAATATCGCAGTCATATCGAATTATTAAATTAAAAATAAAAATTCACGAGTTATTTTTCTTTGCTTTATATATCTAAAATATATCTATATCATTCCATTGAGATAACTAATATATATATTATTAATATATATATTGCTATTAGTACTTTTTTGTTAGAACAACAGAAAGTTAATTTAGTAACTTAGTTGGCCAAGAATTACTAATTTGTAGCGAAATCAACAATTTTTTCTGTCAGTGTATTTAACAAAGCTGCGATTTGGAACCAGCAGCTTAACAATGATTTACTCTCCTTGCTCTACTCTCCTTGCTTTACTCACCTTGCTCCAGACAAATATCCTCTAATCGTTGTCTAACCACTTGCTTGTATCGATTATTGAGATCGCTATTGACAAACTGCTCCCGCGTTTGTATGCTACCAAGCACCATAAGTAATTGCGGTAGCTCGAGGAATTCGGCCGCTTGTCTAATCTCCTGCGGGCAAGAGCGATCATAAAATTACATTATGTGCTATCGTTGACCATCGTCAACGTAGACATGATCGATAAAAAGAAAACGATACGAGATCTAATTACTTTCACTAGAGATCCTATCTCGCTAGGCGATGATTCTAAAATGTCGGTGAGAACAATTGGAAGCGTTATTCATGCAAATCCACGATCGATTAACTGAAGGCCGATCCATCAAGTCACTCTTCAAGAAATTCCGCTATTCGATAATGACAAAGACAATGCTATAGTAGCAATTATTCACGAACTATATAAGTTTAAAGAGTATGGCAAACTAAACTTCGATGTGCGAATCGTTCTTATTGAAAAGAACTTTCCCCCAAAAATGCGACTTCAAATTGCGTTAACCATTTTAGTAGATTTTACTGGTCTCTTTCATTTTTACGTTATATACAGGGTGTTCCATTTTTAAAAACGCACCTCGATAATTCTTCAACGAAGCATTTTCAGCAAAAATGTTTTGGACCAAAGTTGTATGATTTCAAAGAGGACATAAAACAACTATACTATTTTGTTTACAAATGGCATCACTTTCGAGATATTTACTGATCATTACTTTTCTTAAATGGAAACCCTAATGTTTTATTACACCGTTTCTTTCTACTAATTAATTTAAACTTTTGTCTGAAAGACTTGTTTATTTGCCTAATATTTTTTGAGATATTTAAGGAAAACTTGATAATTTTTTCAATATTTAACTCACGATATCACGCTAACTATTTGTCGAAAGAAAAAGTGATACTAGATTTTTTGTTCTACTTGGTCTCAAGAATATATTGTTACAATAGCGCCCTGACTTTTGTTAACTTACTGACTTTTGGAAATTTCAAAATCATCAAATTAATAAAAGTCAGGGTGCTATGTAACAATATATTCTTAAGACCAAGTAGAGCAAAAAAGTCTAGTACCACTTTTTCTTCCGATAAATAGTTAACGAGATATCGTGAGTTAAATATTGAAAAAGTTATCAAGTTTTCCTTAAATATCTCAAAAAATATTAGGCAAATAAAAAAATGTTTCAGACAAAAGTTATTCAAATTAATTGATAAAAAAGACAGTGTAATAAAAAATTGGGGTTTCCATTTAAGAAAAGTAATGATTAGTGAATATCTCGAAAGTGATGTCATTTGTAAACAAAATAGTATAGTTATTTTATTTCCTTCTTGAAATCATCAACTTTTGTCTGAACTTTTGTCTGAAATATTTTTGCTGAAAATGCTTCATTCATGAATTATTGAGGTGCGTTTTTTAAAATGGGACGTTGATAACGCAGTAATAACTTATATATGCATTTTATTTGATAAGAGCGTGTCCGGCATAACTCAAGAACAATTTATTTCAATAACTTGGAAAATAAGAATATATACATACTACTTGATCAGAACTATGATACTTCATTATTAATAATATGTTCAGACGCCTCCATTATCAATAATTGCATGGCATCTTTCTACTAATTTTATGGCATATTCTTGAGGAAAAAATCTCCAAAATCAATCAAATTTGTCGAACTAATTTTTTGACCTTCGAAATTTTCTTTCCACGAAGCTTAAGCTTCATTAATGCCCAAACGTTTTCGATGGAATTTATATCCGATATCTATGATGGCTAATCCAGCACGTCAACGTTATTTTCTTGTTTCCATGCGGTAGGAAATTCCGATCGATTCCGATGTTTTGAATTATTGCAACAATCTTGTAACAATCATTTTTCATTTTTCCTTTTAAACCATTTTCGGGCAAATGATAATAAAGTCTTCTCATACATTTTAACCATTTTAACAGTGTTCAAATTGCTTGTGAAGATATGCAAAATGTCAAATCCTTGCTTTGCGAAGAAGTTCCAAATATGCATCTTTTTTCGACGTTTTTCACTTCTAAGTATTATAGATTCAATTACTTATCTATATATCCTTAGATCTTCTCATGTATTTAGTAGCAGCTTGGCATAACCTTTCGAGTGTATACAGAGAAACACGACTTTAAATTGCGATGCATATACAGCATTCATAGCGAAATATGTATTTCTATTATAAAAGTTGAACGACAACTGAAGCTTTCTCCACAAAGCGTCTTAGAAGATTTCCTTCTACTAACTCTCATTGGAATTTCCCGTTTAACGATTTCCATTTAACGATGTAAAAGTTTTACAGAACACGCTTTTATCAGACTTATCTTAACAAATTGTATTTATCCCTCAATTATCTTCTCGACATTTGTTCGGTTTACTTTAATACATTTCGTTGCCCGAACGAGAAAGCAGATCAATGCTCGGTAATGCGTCAGATTTGCTTATTATGAAAAATCGATACGCGAGTTATATTTGAGAAGGCGCATGCTCGTATATGATGATATGATCTCGCAATTGAATCTTTCAAATCGGAAAAAGATCAGAGCTGAATGAGGCTACTATGTACGTGCGTGCGTGCGCATGTTAACGTATGTATTGATGCGACTGCTAAGTTTTCAAAACGCATTTCGCTTTTGTACTAACCAGTAGAAGCCCAATAGGAGCTGTCTGAAAGAATAGATCCGCGTTAGTTACTATGTACTTTTACAACACTTACGATTTTAACTTGTCGCAGACGCAATATATTCTTAGAGACCTCGATAATTCAATCGCGCGATCATTATTTCAACGCTTGATAATTATCATTTCGAAATCAAGAAATTTTATGTACATGTTATTAATCAACATGCTGATGCAATGACAATAAGAGCGCACATAGATAATTTAATTCATAAGAAAACAACTTATTCGATTAAATTTCACACGTACCGCAAGCGTACAAGATCATAAGCTTACTAGATCACTCTTCATTGCTCGACATTCGAGACATTATCTCGCTTATTCTCATTTTTACAGTTGCATGTCTTCTGTTGTTTAACCATACATAAAAAAGAAGGGGGGTAGGTCCCCTTATATTTTCCGAATACATATCTTATGTTACGATAATTTTTATCGATCCAACGTACTTGTAGATCATGATACCGTTTATCCAAACTTCCCGTATAAATAAATTGCAAACACTGCTGCATCGCCTGCGGAGTAATCAACTTGGACAGCGTAACTACCGTTGTGGGCTGCTGCATTCCATTCACATTCTCGGTCTGCAAAGCATTTCATTTCGATGGGTAAGGCGATACGGAACGATACTCTTAAAGTTTCTTGGAGTGAAAACTCACTCCAATCAAATAAGTAAGCATACAAAACAAGTAAATATTCACTCAAAGCAATAATAAAAGCGTGCCGCTCGAAATTACAGGAGTAAATATTTGATTAAAGCTTACAATGGATTTTTAATATTACAAGATTAAATTAGTTCTGGCCCCTAGCAATAAATGGCTTTAGTAACAAGTTAATGGTTAATACGAATGTTGAAATCTGGTAACACTGAAAAATTTGATATTTCTTTATGACATTTGATAGTTTGCGCGCTATTGTTACAGATAGTTTCATTGTTTATACATGTCTAAAATGGATCGTACAAAATTGCGTTTTCGACATTCATTACTTTTTTGTTTGATTTGAAAAAATCGGCAACTAAAACTCATGAAATGCTTGTTACAACTTATGGTAATCAAGCTCCATCATATTCCAACTGTAAATTTTGATTTCAATAATTCAAAAATATTGGTCAACCAAAAAAATTCAAAAATATTGAATTATAAGCACTATTGAATGAAAATACCGTTCAAACGGAAAAATAATTGACATTGATACTGAACAATTCAACATTGATAAATCAACAATTTCTAAATACACGTTATGGGAAAAATTCAAAAGGAAGGCAAATGAGTTCTACATAAATTGAGTGAAAGTGCCATTGCAAATTTTTTGAATATCACTATGTCTTTGCTTGCCAGATAGAAAAAAAGTTTTTTGGCAAACTGTAACTGGAAATGAAAAGTGAATTTATTTTGATAATGCAAAGCAAAAATATCATAGGTTGATCCAGGATAACCATCCACATTGACATTAGAACGTAACATTCACAGTCACAAAGCAATGTTCTGTATTTGGTGGGACATGAAAGGTATGATAATATGAGCTTCTAAAACCGAATGAAACAGTTACGGGGGAGCGATACTAGCAACAATTGAACAAATTGAATGATGAATTGATGCAAAAAAGGTCAGCAATAGATGCAAAGTGATTTTTTTGTACGATAATGCTCGTCTACATGTTGCTTCAATCGTTAAACAAACATTATTAGAGTTCGAATGGGAAATTCTTCCGCACCCAGCGTACTTTCCACGTCTAGCACCATCTGATTACCGTCTATTCCGATCAATGCAACATGCTTTGGCAGATACACATTTCAATAATTACAAGGATATGCAAAAATGGATGTCTGATCGGATTGCTTTGAAAGACAGATCATTATATCGTCGCGAAATCGCTATGTTGCCAGAAAGATGGGAAAAAGTTATACTAGATGCGCAATTAAGTTTCCGGGTTTCACACATAAATGGCGCTAACGACACATGTAGTCGACATACATGTCTGAAGTTGTGTTTTTTTTATAGCTTGGACATCTGTTAACAATAACCAGTCGTAATACCAACACATATCGCAACGCAAAAATATTTTTTCTAACAACGAACATGTCGAGTTTTGTGCAAAATAAACAGCATTTGCGGGAAGCTTTGCTTTCCTACTTTAACTTGAAAAAAAGTGCAGCTGAAGTACGTCGTTTGCTTGAGGAGGCCTACGGCGAGCATGTACCATCGAAAACTACCTGTGAAGATTAGTTTAAACGCTTCAGAAGTGGAGATTTCGACACTGAGGACAAGGAGCGCTCTGGAAGACCAAAACAATTGAGGACGCCGATCTGCAAGCGTTATTGGATGAAGATGATATGCAAACACAAGATCAACTTGCGGAGGCATTAAACATGACTCGCCAAGGTATTTCCAAACGTTTACATGCCATGGGAAAAATTCAAAAGGAAGGAAAATGGGTGTCGCATGAGTTGACTGAGAGACAGATGGAAAATCGAAGAGTCACTTCCGAAATTTTGCTTTTGCGGCATGAAAGAAAGAGTTTCCTGCATCGAATTGTTACTGGCGATGAGAAGTGGATATACTTCGAGAATCCCAAACGCAAAAAATCGTGGCTTTCACCTGGCGAAGCATCAACATCGACGGCACGGCCAAATCGCTTCGTAAAAAAGATAATGCTCTGCGTTTGGTGGGATCAGAAAGGAATCGTGTACTATGAGTTGCTGAAACCGGGCGAAACTGCCAATGGGCATCGCTACCGACAACAACTGATCAATTTGAACCATGCATTGCTCGAAAAACGGCCAGAATGGAATACGAGACACGAACGAGTGATATTGCAGCACGACAACGCTCCGTGCCATCGTACTTCCATCGTCCAGGACACCATCAAAACGCTGAAATAGGATTTGCTACCGCATCCGCTGTATTCGCCAGACCTGGCCCCTTCCGATTATTATTATTATTATTATTATTATTATTATTATTATTATTATTATGTTCCGGTCGATGGCGCATGGCTTGGCTGGGCAACACTTGGCCAATTTCGAAGAAGTGCAAAATTGGTTGGACGAATGGTTTCGGTCCAAAGACGTGTCGTTTTGTCGTCGCGGTATTCATGTATTGCCAGAGAGATGACAAAAATATGTAGCTAGCGAGGGACGATACTTTGAATAAACCATTTTTTGTATTTCTCTTGAAATTTTCCATTTTTCATTGATCAAAAAAACCCGGAAACTTAGTTACGCACCTAGTAGCTAACGACGGAAAATATTTTGATTGATATAAATTTACCTTTTCTTTAAAATAAAGATAAAAAGTTCACAAAATAAGACCAGAATTAATTCAACCTCCTAATATATGCTTCAGTTAAGATTATTCACTCGATGAATTACAATGAAGTTTTTAATTTTACATTCAATTCATTTAATTAAATTTAAATTCGTTTTATATGTGAGTGAAATGTCATTCGAATTCAAGTGATTCTGCGACCGTTATTTTGCTCTTCGAGTAAATGGTCAAAACAATGGTCATTTGAAGAAAAGACTATAGATAAAACAAGCCGATTTTGACTTAAAACATATAACGTAAGGTATACATATAATTTTCATAGAGTCGTTGAATATAATGCAAAGCAATTTTATTCGTCTAATCCCGTTAGAAAGTATTTAAAATCCATCTTCAAGAGAACTGAAATAAAACACTTTTAATAGTAATTCGATTAGTGACAATTTTATTCCAATTATTGTATCACAATTTAATTTTATATCTTTTTTCATTAAAAATCAAAGAAATATTTTGAAAATGCTAAATTTAATAGTATCGAATTCAATAATATAAGAATTGGAAAAAGTCAATTTCTTATTCAAAGAATTTTAAGTCTCATCAGATTTGTATGTATTGTGCAGTTTTAAAGATGTTAAAATGGCTAATTGTGAAAGTCCTGTTAAAGAATTTCTGATGAGACAAATCTCCTCTAAATTCACAATCTAAAATATTAGTGCTATTGTTGATCGAATGCTTATGTATGTAAACAGATTAAACTATTATATTTAGTAGAATTAATAAAAAAAATCTACGTAAGTGTTGTGATAACCATTTCTAAACAAATGAAACTTGTAGAAATAAATAATTTTTCAATTTTAGATATCAATTAACTCTATCTTTACATATATAATACTTATCAATTAAAAATTCTATTAGCTATTATGCTGATCATATAAAGCTAAAGAGGGATTCTGAATTTGAAGTTAATCGAGAAACAGTTTCTTTTGATTTAAGAAAATATCCCATCAATTTAAATTCTATTAATGCTTTTGTATTAAAAAACATGATTATGCTCTCGTCATTCAAAATCAATTAAATATTTTGTTTATGTATCAATAGATAAAAAATGGTTCAAGTCTTTCAGCTATAGCAGTTCATTCATGTAATTGTGGAATTGGTACTCATGTAGATTGTTGTTCATATATAGTAACAATTTAGTTTTATTATAGTAACAATTTAATTTTTTTTATTGAAAACTAGGGAGACATTTCAAAATAAAACAATTCAAAAGTGCTTTCAATATAATGAAATCAATATGATAAAAAAATTAAAAGAAAGAGAGAGAGAGATAGTTGTTCAAAAAAGTTCACATGTAGCAATGATCCTTTGGTTTTCTACTTATGCATGATATTTGTGTGTGGACTCGATACTTGTTCTTTGTAAATATTTATATAATATATTTGATTTTAAGTCTCTTCAGATTCTAATGACAACGAATGAATTTACAAAACACGATATAGTATAATACGAAAAATAATATAATAGAGCTCCAAGCTAAAGTCTATTTTAGAAAACCTAACACGCCTCTATATAGATGAAACTTTTATAATGGTATGGAAGTTCAAGGATAGTGATCCTTAATATTAATATATGCGTCTAACAAGACTTAAAATTCTTTGAATAAAAAATTAATTATCTCTTTCTTTTTTAATTGTTTTATCATATTGATTTCGCTATATTAAAAGCATTTCTGAAATGTTTCCTTAATTTTCAATAAAAAAAACGTTATAAAACTAAATTTTAATACAAATAGTTAAATAATTGGAACAAAATCGTCACTATCCGAATTAAAAGTGACTTATTTCAATCTTCCTTAACGCGGTTTTTGTCTACTTTTCCATAAGATTAGACGGATAAAACTATTACCATTGTATTCAGCAATCCGAAAAATATTAAATTACATATATAACTTACGTTACACATTTTAGATCACATGGTTAAATCGACCCATTTTGCTTACTATCCTTTAATATTATTATTAATATCTATTACCCGTGACGTCACGCGATTTAGAAACCTACTCACCAAGCATATACGAATATTTTGAAAAGCAGGATGATTCAGTTCCCTCGTTGCGCCGTTAGTTTTTCTCTGATTATCCATCGTTGGCAGCACTTGAAAACTCGATCGTCGCTTAAGTTGCTCCCAAACTCTGCAACGTACATGATTTGTTTATGCCGGGCGCTAATCACGATCTATGGTACATATAAATGCCTCGTGATGTATCGCAAACTTAATTCCGTCCTTATGTAAGTAGATTGTGCCAAGAATGAACAAAACCGTGCAAGAGAAAAAAGGCTAAAGGGCACTGCGTTTTAACTCTTTATTTGGCACCGTCGCGCAAGCAACAGCAATGACTATAGCAGGCTTTATCACATGGTGAGCGAGAGCAGTTTTAATTGCGTGTATGCGATTGCGTGTATGTTAGCAATGTTAATGATTAAGCAAAAATCACACTTCTTTCAACATTGTTCCCGCGTTAGTTCTGAAACTTTGGTTACGATCATGTAGCAGATTATGCAATTATCCCGCCGTACGTTTGGCTCGCCGAATAAAGAGTTAACTGACGCAAATGCAAAACATACGAGACAGAATAAACTCACTTTGCGGGTTTGCTTTGATCGATACGAATTAGGCACTCTGTATCGTCGTTGAAGTCACCGACGGTGGCCTCGCCGAAAGTGCTCACCTTGACGAGAGAATAAGGGAAACATATGTTATTGTGTTATCCTGTTACTACCTCCGAACCTGATAGAGCTGGGATATACCATGCTGGACTCGCTAGAACTACGAGGTGTCAACTCGTGGGCGAGTTCCGTCGAGAATAACCGATGAAACGCTGGTGACGCCGCGGCGAGCAGACACCGGTGAGCCGAAAATGTACAATTATTGGCAATTAAAGTGACGTCCATGTGGACAGGCTTCGTCCAAAGAGTTTTCATGTTCTCCTCGTAAGTGCTCGCAGCTAGACATACCTCCGGTGGTACTGGTTTCGGTGGGCAGAACGGTGCCTATATCAAACAAAATTGGCGTATTGATGTCGAAGTAATTAGTGAAGACATTGCATATGTTTTTTTCCGCAGTCATCCTGATTCATCGAAAAAGAAAGAGAAATGAGGTAAGATAAAAAGAAAAGAAAAATAAGAGGGTGTAAATAAGAGCGGTGGGTGGAAAGAAGGAAGAGTTCAAGATCGGGGGAAGAGGAAAATGATGGAAAGAAAGGGTGAATGGAGGAGGAAGAAAGAGGAGATGGGAAAAGGTGAGAGATAGAGAAGAGATAGAGAAGATAGGGAAGAGGTGTGAGAGAGAGAGAGAGAGAGAGAGAGAGAGAATTCAACCTTCTTAATTGATTGCATATCTCATCAAGGTAAAATGAATTACTTGTTTTAAAAATAGCTCGTTTTCGCGTTATTTGTTTGGAAAAAATAATTTATTACTGTTATTGTTATTGTTGCTTACTTTGAAAAATAATTTGTTATCGCTAATCACATTGGAAAAACGGATCTTTTCAATTTCCATTTCTTTTTTCAAGTTTAAAGACCCCTTTTTAAGTTTTTCTATCAGAAATCCTATGTAGATTATTCTATATATGCAAAATAACGATTCATTATATTCATTTACACAAAAAATATAATCACATTAGCAATACTGACAAAAAAATAATGCCTTTACTAACTTATCACAGAAAAAAATAGCTTTTAACAGTAACAAAATTATGTAATGCGAAACCAAATCTGAATTTTACATCTGTCTTTTGTACAGAAAAGTAATCGCGAGAATAAGTGAATTCTTCGTTTGAAAAATAAGATTTTATCACGAAATTGTTTATTTGTGTTATTCGTTACCTGTAAAAGGGGTTTCTGTACCCTCTTCAAGTTCGTCATCCAAAACCGTTGTTGACGACGTGCGATTAAAGCGGCTCGTATCGAATTCTCGAATACCTCATTTACACCATAATAAGTGAAGACACTTGTCTCATAATAGCACACACCAAGTTCTCGCGCCACCGCTCGCGCCTGATCCGGCATCACTAAATCGCTCTTCCGCGTAGCTCTACGAACAATCATAATAGAACAAATAATTGATTATATGTCATTATCATTGTTAGATATAATGTGCAGTTCGTAGTGTCGTATATAGCATAAATATCATCAATAAGTAAAATAATTGAAACATATGAAAATAAAACTACAACTGAAATGTCAATAAAATTGAAACCGAGTGTATGAAAGAAGAACTTTCTGAAAATTATAAGGAACCTTCAGGCTCTGCCATGAAAACAATAAACTTGTCATATGTCAAGGTTAATTTTGATTCAACCTGATTATCCCTTCATAGGACATTTTAGCTTTACAATTGATTACAGAACCACATCATAAATTTAATATGCTGTGATATCCAATAAACGTATAATGAATATTTTTTGCCGTTGAAAGAATTCCAGTAAGTTCGGAGAAGCTTATAAAAAGACTCCCATAAAATCAATATTTCTGCCCACTTCAATAAATTCGCCATCGTTGGAAAAACATTGATACAATTAAGTAGATTTTATACAAAATTTAAAAAATATGTTTTAGAATTATACACGAATTTCGCTCATTACTCGAGTACAGAGGCTCGGTTATTATTCAATGCTACTATAACGATGCAAATTTAAAAAAAATAAGTGGAAGATTACAAATACAAGAGAAATAAATGACTAGTAATTCGAAAATTAGTTAAGCGAATAGAAAATAGACACATATAGTCCATATAGTCCACGTTTTTGTTAAAGGATTAAGATTTGTAATTTACGATTATTGATTACTGGAAGAAAATGCTAGAAATTTAATCTCAACAAAAATATTAAAATTGGTGCTACACTTTTGATATGTATTATAATATTTAACGAACCAAAGTATTCATTAAGAATCCTTTTCATCTCAATTTCTCTATCACGGGCAAATCACTTACCTCACAAAGGGACTGCGGTCTCGAAAATAGCTGAGATAAGTCTCGTCTCGATACATATATCGCAGATCGTTTTTGCATCCGACTAATAAAACCGGTGTTTGCGGGCAGAATCTCCTTATCTCGGGATACCACATCGCCTTGCAGTTCCGCAAAGAAACGGGATTGGTTATGGAGAAACATAATAAAACGACGTCAGACCTGAAAAAGTCCATCCGTTTAATATCCAATTACCGCATGGAAATCCGTTATTGACGCTCTTACCTGCCGTACGCGAAACGTCGATCCTTCTCGTGATCACCAAACGTATCCCAAAGACGTAGTGATACGTTCACGTTGTCCACTACCTCCCAAGATCGCTCCAAGACCTAACATACAGCGTGATATATGAATCTTTAAAATGACAAAATCAGCATATCAATTTCCTGGAATATCTTCAACTTTAATCTTAATTTATTCAAAATTCGCTGACTAATTTTTTCTTTATTATCATTATGAAACGTACACATTTTCATTAATATAATTCATTTTGTTTTGTGCTACAATCTATGATCTATGATCTATGATCAGTTATGAACCAACTTACATCCTTGTAGATTCGATACTGGTCGATAGCCCAGACTGTGGGCACGTGAGTGGTTAGAAGCTGCGACAGTGACACGTGCTTGTTGCAAGCTCTGGCACAAATCAGTCTGGTCTTTCCGACTGCCGTGTCGCCCACGACCACACACTTGACCAGTTCCTGGTGTGGTTGCTCATTGTCCATCACCGGCAGTCTCTTCTTTTCATGCAATATACTCTCTCACCTGCCAGATCGCTCAAGTAAATCGCTAACCCCGGCTCCGTAGATGCTGCCGCTGTCGTGTCCGTAATCGCCAAGTGCGTGCACCACATTCGACTTTGAACTGAACGCGACGTCCACGAGCTTGCCGACGTCGATAGAATATGCGCTAAAATCAATAGAATTACGTCAGTCTTTTCCATCTACAGCTAATGAGTCCTACCAATGTCGCACTATAACATATCTAACGTAGACGTTAAGAATCGTGCTATTCGTTCCAAGAATAAACAATGACTACGAGAATAATATCTTAAACCGGATACCTCGCAAAAACAACGGAAATACATATGGAATTATTGGGTCTATGCATAATTCCGTAGCGAAAATTGAATAAATTTCAACGCAAAATATTTAGCAAAAAAAGCGATTTTAATCAACTAAATATGTTTCATTCTGTTCAATGACTTTCTGCCATCTCTCCACTAGCTTCATTATTCCTCTTTCATAGAAGTTCTGACATCTTTGGGCAAAGAAATCATCCAAGTGGTTTTTGAGGAAGTCCAGGGAACTGAAGGTTTTATTATTCAAATTGTTCTGTAGCGTCCGGAACAAGTGATAGTCTGAAGGTGCAAGGTCCGGACTATACGGTGGGTGCACCATAACATCCCATCCAAGTCACAATAACTTTTGCTGGGTCATCAAAGAAACGTGTGGTCTACCGTTATCCTGGTGGAACACAACGCCCTTTTTGTTTGCCAATTCAGGCCGCTTCTGATCGATTGCTCGCTTTAATTTGGCCAGTTGTGAGCAGTACTTAGTCGAATTAATCGTTTTGTTGGATGGTAGCAGCTCATAATAGACGATTCCTTTCCAATCTCACCAGATACAGAGCATGACCTTCTTCGGGTGTAATCCAGCCTTTGCGATCGTCTGAGCAACCTCCCCGCGTTACGACCATGATCTTTTTCAACTGACATTGTCATAGACAATCCACTTTTCATCGCCAGTGATCACCCGCTTTAAAAATGGTTCGTTTTGATGGCGTGTGAGCAGCAAATTGCAAGCTGAAATTCGGTCTATTAAATTCTTTTCGCTCAGTTCATGCGGCACCCAACCGTCAAGCTTGTTTACCCATCCTAAGCTTCCGTAAATGTCTCGAAACAGTTGATTGGTCAATGTTGAGGTTATGTCCGATCTCTGTAGTCGTCAAATACCAGTCGGAGTTGATTAAAGCCTTGATTTGATCGACATCAGTAGTGATTGGCCGACCAGAGCGAGAAGCATCTTGGAGATCAAAATCTCCGAAACGAAATTTCGCAAACCACTTCCGACACACTCGCTTACGGCATTTTCTCCGTACACGGCGCATATCTTTTTGTGACGTTGCGATGCGTTTTTGCCTTTTCGGAAATAAAAAAGCGAAATGCACCGAAAATACACATTTTTTCCTTCCATATTCAAAATATAATTAAACTTCGTATACGTCAGAGATCTCGATGAATACTTTTTTAAAATATCGGCACAAATTTCAGCTTTCACTTAATGTACGACACTTCATATATTTGACACATGTGCGAGCGGAAAAACAACTGCGAACGACCGATCTGTCGGAATTTTGCTACGGAATTATGCATAGATCCAATAGTTACATCGCTCGTACTACATGAGTAACTATTTGTTATACATCTTTAAGTACCTCTAAATACCGCTCTATGTAGCGTTTATTATATAAATCATATAGCAATTAATAGATACTAGGTACAAAGTGGAACCATTTTTTTTTTTAGAAACAAACATGAAAATTATATGAGAGTAAATCGGGGGACTTGCTCTCCAATATATAATAAATTGCAATTGCTACCTGAGTATAGGGTTTGAATTAGATCAATTGCTTAAAACAAGCGCATAATGCGAATATCAATATTGGAATAATCCTGTAGCATGTAACTCCTAATGAAGGAGCCACTGTCTTTAGCTTGATACTACTGTGATCAAAAAGTATCCGAACTTTATTTTTAAAAATCAAAATTACAATTCAATCATCAAAATTTTTATAGTCTCCTTCAAAATAGCCCCCATTGCTTGCAACGCATATATGCTAGCGTTTGATCCAGTCCTGGAAACATCGCTCATATGCGGCAGACGGTATGGCCTTCAATTCACGATTTTTCTTTGATATTCTCAATCGATTCGAAATGCTGTCCGTGAAGTGGTTTTTTCAGTAGGAAGAACAAGAAAACGTCGCGGGGGGCCATGTCTGGTGAATACAGTGCTTGCGGAGCGACATTCGTTGAGTTTCTTGTCAGAAATTCACGCACAAGTGTCGAGGTATGCGATGGTGCGTGATGCAAAATCTACGAGTTGTTTTCCCACAATTCCGGTCGTTTCTTACGGATTGCTTTACGCAAACGCCTCATGACGGACAAGTAGTATTTTGCATTGACTTTTTGACCAGTTGGAAGGAATTCCTGGTGCACAGCACCACAATGATCAAAGAAAAACGTGAGCTTGACTTTTGACTGCAAACGGCGAGCTCTCTTCGGTCTTGCTTCATTTTTCAAACGCTATTCCAATGATTGTTGCTTTGTTTCGATGTCGTATTGGTAAATTCATGTTTTATCACCATTTATGATCCATTTCATGTATGTGATGTCTCTAGATACCGTAGAAATCATCTCAGACGACACCAACACTCGATTATTTTTTTGGAGAAAATTCAGATATTTCGGAATCAAGCGCGATGCGACCCGTTTCATGTCCAGTATATTGTACAAAATATGCTGGCACGATCCAAATGATATTCCAACTTCATCTGCTATCTCTCGCACAGTCAATCGACGATTTTGGTGCACCAATTCTTTCACTTTCTCAATGTGAGCGTCATTCGTTGACGTTGATGGTCTTCCAGAGCGTGGGTCGTCTTCAACAGATTCTTGTCCTTCTTGAAACTTCTTAAACCACTCAAACGTACTTGTTTTCGATAAACAATCACCGCCATAAGCTTTTTGCAACATTTTGAATGCGTTTGTGAACGAAATTTCGTTCGCAACACAAAATTTCAAACAAATTCTTTGCTCTATATTTTTCGACATCGTAAAAATTGCCGTGCATAACAATCTTCACTGACATAAACAATTATCACTTTCAAACGGCTTGAAGGAACACCATGATTTTTTCACTAAATGTGAAGAACATGTGTACCAACTTAAGAAAGCAAACGTATTTGATTTACAGTTTACTCGCAATTTTAAAAAAATAAAGTTCGGATACTTTTTGATCACTAGTATGTTCGATTATGGAACGATCGAAGATAAAGAAGGCGAAGAGCAAAGATATCTGTGCCGAAAATAATCTACAATTGCAGCCATCATTTATCATCGGGAAGGAACGAGAACTGAGTGAAGAGCGAAAATCGCATGATGGATCTATCCCCAAGAAGAACATCACTGTGTGCTAAAAACACGCGTATAAATAGACATGAGTATATTTTAAACCAAGAAAAATTCGAAATGAGTTTAAGTAATTTGGGTGTATATATGGAAGGAACGTGCTTATTGATTTGACACGACTAAAACATTCGTTATATTTAGAAATGAACCTTTGCAACTTCAATTCAATCCCTACATCACTTTAATACTGAATAAACAATTCGACATAGTCGCCATCGTCGTTGCGGCAAAGAAACCGGCAACCGATTTGAGAGATGCATATAAATTGATCATAAGTAAATCACTACTTTGCCGAGAACGATGATCGACATTATCGTCAACGTCGCCATTGTTATTTTACGCTCGTCATCGTCGTCATCCTCGTTCCAACATTCGTGCGACATTGAGCGGCGTTTGTCGCGCATGCTGGAGTCAAACACTCCTCCAGGGTTTCTCTCAAGTACAAAATGCATCATAGTTCTATTCTTATTTGTATCTTTCTTTGCTTTTTTTCAGAACCTTCTCTTCCATTCTTCCTTCACAATCTCTCTCCTTCCTTTTCTTTAACCCCACTTTCTCTCATTCTCCTTCTCTCTCTCCCTTCTTCCTCCTACTCCCGCCCCCTCTCTCCCTCTCCTTCCTTTTCTCTTTTTCTCTCTCTCCTTCCCTCTCCCTCTCTCTCGTTATTCAAAATATTATAAATGTCTATACGATAAACAGCTATGCGGCTGTGCGTGCTATCCTTTCTTCGTACCAATCCCTATTTAACCTCTTGTTGGCTCCTCTCATTGTGATATTAATTTCCCGTACGGAAGAAATTAATTTTTGTCGTTGCACTCGTTGAGAGATGTTTACACGTGATATATCAAAACACATTCAAGCGTAACTAACAATTCTTAGGAACTACTTTGCGGACAAAGTTATATGCACGTATATCACTAGGATATTCATATACGTTCGATTAAGCTGTAGGATTTAATATTAGATGTTGTTCGATTTCTTTAGTACTATATAATATATACATTTCATTGACGGTATAGAGACAATTGTGTTTGTAAAGACAAAGACTACTCTTTATCTGTAAATGTAAATTTATAAAATTCTCAGTTAAGCTATACATAGTGTGGCTATAAACTTTTAAGATAAATTTTTTTTAAGAAATATGCAGCACCATCTGTATAATATTCAAACTATCTATTATTCAGAGCGTTTTACAAACGTACCAAATTACATCATTTGCGTATTATACTTTAGGAAGTAGATCATTATTTATGTTATGACTTTTTTATCATTGTAACATATGCACGTTACGACATTTTTATCATTGTTATATGCATAGAAAAATCATTAGAACAACGATAGGCGATAAAAATTTGCTTTGAACTTGAAAAAAGTTCACCCGAAATATACAAACTAATTAGAAAAATAATCAGCGATACTTCTCTAAGCTATGCAAATGTTTTTCATCGGTTTTTGCGATTTCGTAACAAGAACGTGATGAATGATGACGTGATGATGAAAGGAATGGCCGTTCGGCTGTCAACTAACCGAACTAAAGCTATCATCAAAACTCTAATTGCACGAATGACAATTAGAATAATAGTGAAACAACTCGACATCGATAAAGAAATAGCCCGATTGATAATTATACCAAAATGGCGATTAGTTTATTTTTCATAACAACATGGTTGTTCTCACAAGATAATCACGCGGCAATTCCTCGCCTTCAAAAACGTTAATA